ATATATATATATATATATTGTTAATGGTTCAGCCTCTTTGAAAACTTTCAGAGGTCGATAAATCTTTAAAAACCAGTACACAACAACAAAAAAGCCTGTGTCACGCATGCGCGGTATGGTGAAACCAGACACGGACACATTTATGACTGGCATTTTTTTTTTTTTTAAATTAGTTAGTTTGTAAACGAAACTAATGAATATTTAACCCTCTGCTTTAAGGCATTTTGTCGCAGGTGCGCACACATCCGGTGTGGCAGACAGGACTCTGGCTGCAGACGGGAGGATCTCCCTCTTGACTCCTGCGTGTCTTTGATACATCCTGCCATGAGCGGAAGTGTCTGGGATTCTGCTCAACCCAAATCAGTCGTTTGTAAAAGGAGACAGGGCGAAAAGCGTCTGCATCTCTTCCCACACCCCCCCACCATCAGCCGGGCTCCATTCAGCGGCGCCGTGCACCATTTAATGTAGCCGTGCACCAACAACGGGACATGCTCCACCAGGTCAGGCATCTTTTCTTTTTACTACACCAGACATGCGTAATTACGGACGACCCAGCAGGAGAATAGCGGAAGGTTTGGTAGTAATCCCAACGGGTGTTTATTTCTAATGGACGTATTTTCTTCTAGGTCTGCGCAATCGACGTGAACGCCTGCCTGGACACAGGAGAGGATTAAGTTACTGTTTGCTGGCCGCGGATTATTTTATTGGCCTCCTCCTGTCACGCCCGAGTTTTTGGTCATCTTTTTTTGTTGCTCCAATTAAGAGAGGTCGCTCAACAGCCAGGTATGCTATTGTGCTCGAAAAGAATAACCTCGCCATTCCCTTGAAATGTCTCATTGTGGCATGAACTACGCAGTAATACACGTCCTTTGTTGCTCATGCCCGTACTCTCTAAAAAAAGGCACATTTCCTCGTACTGTGTACAGACAACAATAGAATCCCCTATATGAATAGTGTTTTTAAAAAACCCCACTGTGGGCATTTTGTAACAATGTTGCAGGTAACTAAAAGCACCATTACACAGCAGGATAGCGCTGTTTAGTAACGTGGATGTAAATACCGATGGAGGTGTTGCAGTCTTAAAAGAGCATGGATTGTGGGCCAGTGTTTTTTTTTTTGTTTTTTTTTTACAAGCTACTGGAAAAGATGTGAACTGCAGCCTGCGTACCTGCCAAAATACAATTTGCTTTGACAACTGTGAAGCATTAGGTAGATGGCATATAGAGTTACTGGCTGCCCTGTCTCTGCAGCTCTGACTGCCCAACCCCCTTCCCCTCTCAGCCACAGCATGTTTTGGTTTCAGGCGGATCATGCCCTTTTGTCCACTGAAGCCTGACTGTACTTTTCAGGACAGACTCCCACCATGAAAGAATTTGCCTGCTGTTTTGTCATCCCCCCCCTTTTTTTCTCTCTCGCTGACAAGCCAAAGGATGTTGGGGATTCACTGAATAAACTCTAGAATTGTTGGGTGTGCACTGTGCAGTGGTTGTAATTAGCCGGATGCGGTTGGAGAAAGCTATAACAAAGTCCATTTGTTGAGACTCTTTTGGGATGGAAATGATTGGAGCCATGGTTTGACATGTAGTCAGCTGACATTTAGCCATTCCCACGTGAGATTAAACATAAAACACAGCTATTTATCATACATTAAAGTATTACAAGACTGTCTTCCTAAGGCTTCTCCCCTCTGAACCAATCTTTAATTAACGTGGCACAAGAAAACCCGTGGTAGTACTTGTAATTATTAACATTACGGCCTGAAAATGTTGAACTATTGAACACATATATTACAAAGTCAGCTGCAGCTCATGTGTTAGACTTTGGCACAAGTAGTTCAGTCTCAGGCTGTAATTAATAATTCTTCTCATTATCCAAAAATGTCACAGTTTTCAGGAGCCCAAGGTGACATCATAAATTGCAGTTTAAAGAAGCTTTGGTCCATAGATGAAGTCCAAAATATTTATTTTACAATAACATTAAACTGAGAAAACAACATTTTCCACATTTGAGAAGCTGGAACCAGAGAAAGTCTTTCACATTTCCCCATTTAAAGTGATGATAAAAAGTTTAAGGTACCGCTTTTGCCATCTAATTCACTTGTCATGTTTTCCCTCCACAGTTATGTCTTTCCGGCGAGGTGTCGTCAGGCAGAGCAAGTTCCGCCACGTCTTCGCCCAGGCGTGGAAAGCCGAGCACTGCATCGACGACGTCAGGGTGTCCCGCGTGACGTGGGACGGTCCCCTCTGCGCGGTCAACCCCAAATTCATCGCCATCATCATTGAAGCCGGCGGAGGAGGGTCCTTCCTCGTTGTTCCAATCAGCAAGGTTCAAAACTCTCTGCATTACATTCAGCATCGAATAACCAGCGGATCAATACTTTTTAAAAGCCTCTGTCTTGTTTCCGATCTAAGCTACTAAAAGAAACACGTCAGCAACTCTTTGGCGCCTCGCTCAACGTCTGGCTAATGCATATGCAGCACTTTTACAGTGCCAAGACAAATAGTGGACAAAGGTTCTACCCCTGTGCTCCCTTTCTCCCACAGAGTGGCAGAATCGATCAGTCCTGTCCCACGGTGTGCGGCCATGCAGCACCGGTGCTGGACATCCAATGGTCTCCTCATGACGACAACATCATTGCAAGTGCCTCAGAGGACTTCACAGTAAAGGTAGGGCCACAGTTTCAGGTCTCGCTGGCGGTTTGTGGTTCTTAATCAGTCATCGGTGTAAGCATAAGTCACCCTGACCTCAGTTGTGTAAACTAGGTTTCTAACAACTCCAGTGAACTGCTTTCTTCTTCAGCTAAAGGGTAAAAGGAAGTCATCTATTGTTGCTATTCGAGAGTTAGTGTCCCATGATGATTTTTCATTCAGTATGGAAAGCTAATGAGGTCTTTTCCCTGCCGTTTGATGTTTACACGTGTTTTTAATATAGTTTTATACCACAAGCAAACAGCATGTTCCTGCACACGTGTGACGGCGGAGGGCACACTAGGACCCCTGCTGCCTGCTGCCGGTCATAGTGTGCAGGTGCATAGAGCGGCGTTCTCAAACATCAACCGCTTACCATGGCGTTTATAAATGCCAGCTGGAGACATGAAACCATATTACCAGACGTATAAAACATTCAATGGCAGAGGAAAGGAGAATCCAGTTTAACTGATTCAATTTGGGAACACATTTATTCCCTTTGTTGCCCAGAGTTTAAGAGATTGATACCGCTCTCATGTCTGCGCAGGAAATATGAAAATACAGCTACGACATGGTTAGCTTAGCTTAGAACAAACACTGGAAGCAGGGTGAAACAGCTAGCCTAGCTCTCTCCAAAGCTAACTAACTTCACCTACCAGCACCTCTAAAGCTCACTAACTTACACACTATATCTTTGTCTATTTTGTAGAAAAACTGAAATGAGAAAATGACAATTAGTGGTTTTAGAAGGGATTATGCCCCAAGCTAGTCTGGCTTCCAGTCTTTATGCTAAGCCATCTCCTGGCTCTAGCTTTATTTTGAACAGCCAACATGAGAGTGGTGTCAATGTTATCATCTAACTCTCAGCAAAACACATCAATAACAGTCCTTCCCAGAATGTTGAACTATTCTTTTAAGGCGCTCTTGACGATGAAAAGACTGGATGCAGGAAAGAAACCAAGACAGAGCAAGGAAAAACTGCTGTTAAAATCCTCTATTTAATTGAGTGTGATGGTTTAAAACACTGACTAAATGAAGGCTTTTAACACAATTTATGGCATGAAAATGTTAATATCAGTGTATCATATAAGCACCAGTCGCTCTAATGCACCTGGATGGATCCATCCTACATTACTGTAAATGTATTCACAAACAAATGTCTGCTGTGTCTTGTTGACCAAAGGTGTGGCAGATCCCAGATGGAGGCCTGACAAGCCCAATGACCGAGGCCATTGTGACCCTCGAGGGACACAGTAAAAGAGTGGGAATCCTGGCTTGGCACCCAATTGCTTTCAATATCCTCTTGACTGCAGGTAACATCATTTATCATATTATATATATCTGCTCTTTTACCTGTGCACCTGAACCATACACCGTGCAAACAAGACCAATGTGGTTAATATGTTGTTTTACATACATTTCCATGAAATCAAAAAGACGGGTGTGTGATGGCAGACCATCAAAGAAGTTTTATATATCAAATATAAGCCAGTATTGCCACGTGACAAATTTCCATTTTTAACAAATACTGCCAGTATCTATGGCAAACATGTTTACATTGGCCATGTGCTAAACATTTCACATTATGCAGAGAAAAGTGACATGTACCCATCTGTCTGTAAATAGTGAGAGTTGAAGAACAGCTCTTATCTTACTGTGCTGGTGTTCAGTGACAGCCAGTTCAAATACTACTGCATTATACAAGCAAGAAATTGGATTCCCCCCCTCAGAAATCCATAGCATGCAATGCAAGTTAAAGGGAGAATGTGATTAACCTGAAACATAGTTACACTTATATTAGCATGTGTGTCCCAAACACACACAAGTACATTGTGAGCTGCTGTCTGTTGCTACAAGCTCATTGAAATGCATTACTTCTCTTATGCCCTTCTGTTATTGAATGGCTGTGGCTCGACATGAGTTGAACTCATCTATCTCAAGTAGCCGCAGAGACAGATTGTTGAACTATAATGATGTTAATTAAAATAATAATTGAAGAATTGGTGTCAGGGTTAGCAAGTCCAATATATTAAAAGCTATATTAAAGCTTAAAGCTCAAGAATTTCTCAGCAACAATAAGAAAGAAAACTTTTTTTATTCAGAGTTAAATACTCCAAACTCTGCCAGCCTGCATCATCAGGGCTGTGTTGGTGTGGTTGGTCATATTAGATTGACCCCACCTTTGTCCAGCTGTTGTTTGGTGTATTTACCCCTTTAAAATAGCCATACACAAATCACACAATAACACAAACTAACCATTCGAGGAAGTGGTAGACCTTCTAAAAAACCTCTGTTGGCTTGTTGTTTTTAGAACTGCACTAATGTACATCTGACATTGCAGTTTCACATACTCCTTGGTATACAAAGCTCTTAATGGCCTTGCTCCGCATTCCACATCAGACATGCTCTCAGGTTATAAACTCAGCATCCTTTTATGTTCCTGCATTTAGGCACTTAAAGAATTGAATCGCCTGCCTCCTGAGCTTATTTGTGCCTTATCATTATTGTTTGTATTTCTGTATATCTACAGAAATATATATATATATATA